TGATCTTCTGCAGTAGGAAAATGTCTTGTGAAAGATACTGCAGTGTTTTGCAGGGAAGGATGGAGACCTTGAGGACCTTGGTGCAATGTTTTTATGCTTTTAGATCTGTGTTGCAGCATGATCCATGCTATGGAGGAGCCAGCCATCCATCCATTCCAGCTGGAGTCCTGTGGTATTACTAGTGCAAATCCAAATGTTTGCTGAGTGGTAAAGTTCTGTTCCCCCTGTGTTTGTAACTACCTTATTTCATTCCATGCTTCTTATCGCAGCCTGAGAGATTTTCTGATGTTTACAAAACAATGTGCAGTATGACAGGTCCCAACCTCTCCAGGTTTCCACCAGAAAATGTTTGTGTTTAAGTCGGAAAAAAAAAAATTAAAACACAGTTTAAGTCCAAAATTTACTCCCAATTTACTCCAGTTTAAAGTTTTAATACAGTTTGAAATGTGCTGTCTGTTATTATAAAATCAGATTATGTATTATTGCATTTATGTTTAGTAGGAATGGTAGAGAGATGCATTCTGTGAGATTATATAATTAGATTGYGATGCTGAGCTTTCAAAACTGATAATTCCATCTCTAAAGGGCAAATAAAGCCTGCTCTTCTCCAGGCTTGTGCATTATCATTGGATTCTCTGGAGCTCCACAGAGAAGAAGACTTCTTCACCTCTCTTACTTCCTGTTTAAGTGACCAATAAATTTGCAAGTTATTGGGCATGAGGCCAGAACACTATGATTGCATAAACCTCATTTTCTTAGAAGCCTCTGATGATTAAAGAGACTGAAAAATGAAAATGATCTAATCTATTAACTGGAGAAAAATAGCAATTGATCACTGATTTATGTTTCTTGGTAACGTAACTTGAAAAAAGTAGCAGCATATCTGTCTTCATCAAGAAGACCTTTTCCAGCACACTCAGCCCCTGTTTTGGTTGTTCTTCAGACACCAGTCTAAATGAGTTGTTTTCCCCACATCACATGCTTAGCTCATCTTCAACACCTTTGGGACTTTGTAAACACCTTTGGAACTTTCCAAACATGTTAAGTCTGTTTGACAGTGAGRTTTGAAAGTAAAGCAAATTTGATTCAGCTGCATCAAGATGGGCCCTTATCACCTCTGATCACAGAGGGTGTGGAAGGGTCCTCCAGTTTAGGGCACTGTTGGGTTATCCTTTAGCAAACTCTCATGCTGGCTGTCCAGATCTCATGCATTTTCTGTCCTGGTGAGTCTTAGCCTTGCTAGCATATTGTTCTGTCCTGAGCTCCCCCGACAGCAAGAATCAATGCTGCCTTTGGAGTGACATTCTGAGGGTTTGAGAAAAGACCAGTTTCCATTTGCTGCGACTGTACATCTTCAGCCAGCCTAGAGTCTGTGTGATAATGCTCTTAATTCAGGTTATTTCGTGTTTGTTTTATGTGTGAGATTTCATGTGACAAAGTGTCAAACTGATTTACGGATTTCCAAAGGGAAAATGCTTTCTGCTCTTCATCCATTAATTCTCTAATGTAATCGATAAAAGCAATCAGTTGTGGTTTTGGTTTTTGKTTTTTTTTTCACAGAAGCTAACATGGGATTAATCATCACTGACAAGATTAGGTCAGAATCAAATTTTGCTCTGCTTGACATCAGTAGTGAAAGAGATGTTTTTATAAGCAAATTGTGCCCCTAGTAAAGGAGCTATTTCAGGAGTGAAGAGTGTTACCAAAAAGACTGTAGGAAGTAAAAGACTAAACAATTCTACACCAAAATATGTCCAGAAAAACTCTTCTATCTCACRTGGAAGCTGTAATTTCCAGTTGAAGGTAGCAGTCACCAAGTCTKTGTGGGGTGCTCTGGAGAGCCTGAAAACAAAGACATCTGCAAGGGGCTCTCTGCTGGAGACTGTGTGGTGTACCCTTCAGTCTGAAAATTGAAGAAAACTGATAGACAGATAGGAGATTTTGTGAAATAGCACTTGGTGTACATGCAGGTTGATGCCATGTCAGAGCATGTAAGAGCAGCCCGTGGGTTTGCAGCTCAGAGAAGAGTTGGTATTCCTGTRCCCTGTCTCTGCAGAAAGGCAGGACTGAGTGCTGTAAAACCTTTGAGGTACCATGACAGAGTAAAAAAGGCTCTTGCTACTCTGAAGTTCATCTTCTAACTAAATGGCTCGTTCCTGCTGCATTTTTTGTGTTTCAGTGGTAAAAATGCTTTTGCAACAGTAATGGGAAAGCTGCATCAGCATTTCTCTTGGTCTTGGGTCCATTATGTCATGTTAGCAACTGTGTCGTACTATTCTCTGTTGCTCATGCAGTTCTAATCCCGTTTAATTCACTGGCAGCACTTGATTTTGCTGACCAAAAAATATTTGTTTGCACCCTTGAGCAACCCTCACTTTTACARTGTCTATCATACTTTGCCCTGCTCCCCCATTCCACCTGTATTTTATTTATCTTTAATTACAACAAATCTGAGGGAGAGCTGTTTGTCCTCAGTTTTACCTGTGGCTCTGCTCTGGGTGGGTGGAGAGATTAATTTGTAATCATGTCTTAATTTTCAACTCATAAAGAATCACTTTTTTGTTTTTTTTAATCCATTAGCTGCTCTTTGGTTTTGATCCTGAGATCTACGTGGGGAAAAAAACCCTCCAAACCAAACCAAAACTGTCAACACAGTTGGTAGTGGCAAAGACAGTGCCTAAAATTCTCAGATACTGGGTATTAATGGTTAACTGTCTGTGTTTATATGGTGCACATACAGGATTTTTCACCTGCTTACAAGTGGGACAAATTAAGTTCATGTAGCTACCCACATTTGAATGTATTTTAGGGGATTACCTGTAATTTTTGGGAGTATATTTCTTACACTTGTAACAGCATTTTAAAATGAGCTTGTTAGTAATTGTAATAAGCCTTTGGGTGATCAGGTTAATTTTTTAATATGACTGTTATTGATGATCTGATTTTGATAAAATAAATACGTAATGAATTAGATTTCCTTAATTAGTTTACAGAAGTTTAGGGAAGTGCACTGTGGTTCCTTCATACAGCAGTTGCACTGCTCTCCTGTTAACATTATAAAGTCATGAGCTTGGATTAAAGTTGAGGGAAACACAAAAGTCTGAGCTAAACAGACACAGGACCTGCCTTAATATTCCTGCCCAAAATCTGAGTAAAGATACAGTTTTGTCAACGAGATTTTGCCTCAAAAAATAAGCTAACAGGCAATATGATTTTAGTATTCTCTTGTAGAAGAAAGTACTGGTGGTAAAACCCCAAGGATTGGCTTGAATTTGTTGGTTTTGTTTCTGTCTCATATATCTACTAATCACTAATTTGCCCACGGAAGGCATTCCCCAAAATGAGCGTTTTCAGTACTTAAACTACAGGCTCTCTGTATGTGTACATATTGAAAATACTCTTGTGTTATTGGGTGAGATAATTTGAGCAATATGTGGWATGGAAAGCAAATCTCTGAACAGCTTTTCTTTGTGCAGACTGTAGGCAGTAAGAGTTAAGTGAGTCATGTACATATTTTATTGCTAATATCAACACTTTAGCAATGCTAATCAGCTGTACTGATTTTCTGTTTTGATTTTCCTTAATAATTAAGCAAAAGATCTGGAATGCAATCAAGTTTTACTCTAGGGGGTTCAGGCAATTTTTTTTTTCCATTTTAAATTTTGTATCCTACAGAAAGAAAGTTGCTGAACTTGAGAATAAAAGAAAAAAAAAGGAAATACTGTGTACAGTCTGCTTGATCAGAGTGATTTTTTTAGTGAAATCACCACTTCACTGGAATTATTAGCTGGCAATGCAGCTGCTCTTTAAATAATTTCACATTGACTGCTTTGCTGCATGAAGAGAAAAAGTTACAGACCATGAAGTACCTTCCAGCAGCCCTGATTTTTCAAGAACAATTTAGCAAAATGGGATAATCTCTATATCCTCAGATGTCTTAAATATACTAGTTCCTTGTTGTGAGCTTTTTTATGTTGACTTCTGAAGTGAGGGTGATAGACTATTTTGTCTTCATTTTTTCATAGCCATGTGGACCTTTTTCTCATCAAATAAAGTTATTGGTGTAATTTGCTTTACTCTGTTCCATAATATTTACAGTAAGGAGTTTCCACTTCTGGATTAGTTTACTTTGTTAAAAGTATTTGCATTAAATTAAACATACTTAGTAGAAATTATTTTCTCCTTATACTACAGATTAGACTCAAAGATCACATTTTTCCTATCTCTGTAGCCATGTAATGTTAGAATTTGTGTGTAAATGGGGAAATAAGGTCAAATGTTCACTGAAACAGAAATGTAATTTAAGTAATTATAAATAAATTACATATTGATGGCCTTCATTCTGCCATTTGTGGATTAATGGCCAGTTGGATTGAGTGTTTCAGCATGCAAATTAAAATCATTTGCTTAGTGAAAGCGTTAGAATAATCTTTTCAGACTTCTGTGTTAGGACAACAGCTTTTTTAATGAATGTTCGTTCTGTTTGGAAATTGTACAATCAGCAGAGGAGGGGAAATTAAATTTTGGGGATTCAGRTTTTAGGAGCAGTGACAGTGCAGGATGACGTGTGAGACTCTGCTGACCACAGAGGGCACATGGAGAGGCACCGACCTTTCTTGCAACGTGCAGAGCTCGCAGTGCCATGTCATCAGCTGAGCCTCTCCACCCTTGTGGTCTTGAGCCACTGCCAGCCTTTCTTCCAGACTRCAGCTCTGCCATTTTGAGGGGACAAAGCCTGGCTGAGCCCACTGAGCCTGGGTGGCTGCAGTTGATCAGGACTGGGGCATCTCTGGGATGCAGGTTGTCAACCAGCTGACCTCATGTAAAACTACTCCATTCCGGTTCTTCTTCCAAAATGGGTGTRAAAATGGTGCTACTGGGCAAGAAGTGTGTGTTCCTTGAAATACCCCTTGCTTTAGACTGATTGTAAATGTGTCAACCTTATTAGATACTTTATATTCTGTATATTTTTAATGCGTTATAATTTTTTTTTCTTGCAGTCATCTCTTTGGAAAGATGGTTCTTCATTTCAGCTCATTTTTTGGCTTCCCCATCATACTCCTGTACCATTGGATGGGTTCAGCTTTGTCTTTGAATCTGGAAGATCCCAATGTGTGCAGCCACTGGGAAAGGTAATGCTTTCCATCTGCGAAATAAATGACACAAATTCTGATGTAATGATTTTGCATTGCTTTACTTGGCACTCTACAATTTATTTAAAGCTTTTGTTTGAGTTAGAAAATAGAGGGGGCATGGGCAGGTGAGTTTATGGATATATAAAAGACTATTTAACACTGGACTGAAATCCAGTCATCTTTGCAGTGGGGGTTAGCACGTAAAAAGCACTGCAGTGGTGCCATCAATGTTACACAACCATCTGGGTACAAGAAGTGAGTAAAAATAGCTCTTTCCAATTTAAGTGAAAAGAAGTTTTACATATGCAAAATATAATTAACCATTTTGGAATTTGTCCAAATTTGATTATGCTGATTCTCTCCTATTCAGCATTCACAGGATCTGAATTAAGATTTGTTGTTTAATTATTTTGATGAGGTTCAAAAATTTATAACATGCAAAATGAAATTCATCATCAATGTAGCTGTTCTGTTTGTTCATCCAGTTYCATGTGAATTGCAAAATGCCACCATGGGTAGGAGAGGTTCAGCTTCAAGCCTCTGCTGAACTTCTTTCCTTGTGTCAAGGTTATGACGKCAAAAACAAGACCCTTGGTGTCATTATTACAGTCGTGCCTGTGATTGGTCAGCTGGTCCATGAGGAAGTCTGATTTTCACAGTTCACTCAAGGACATCAGCATTACTGCACTTAATGTGAACTGGGTTTTATGCTTAATCATGGGGAGTGCTGCTAAGCTACTCTACATATATTTGTGATGGTTATGGCTGAATCTTTACAAATCTTTCAAGTTTCAAAGAAAATTGAAACTTGTATTTACTTCTTTTATGACGTCTCTCTARAAAAAAAAAAAAAACAACACTTAAGGAGTTTCCTTGGGAATTTACCTGAGCTTCTTGTGAAGCATTTGGTGCCTCTGCCTCAGCTGTTGGGTACAATTCATACAACAATGTGTTTATGAAGTAGTCACCCTGTTTGTTCAGAGTTCTATATTGTGTGTGCTTTGTTTACAGTGTTTGTAGCTAAAAGTAGTTTCGGGGGAAGCTACAACATAGCAAAAGCAAAATGGGAAAGAAACGCCAAATACAACTATTCACACTGCTTAATGTATTTTAAAACAAGCAAATCAAAGTCTGCAGGRGGAAAAATATGTCTAAAAATGTATCTAGCAAGCATTCCCATTTTGTGGCATGAACTTCTTTTCCTTCTTCTGCTGTACCTCAGTAACAGGACGGAGCTGCAAATAAACTTAATGGAACATCCACACTGTTACTGAGAGCAGGTGACAAAGGGACAGAAGTATGAAAGGGTAAAGCCCCAGATACACGCTTGATCACTGGTTGTGCTGTATTCTTTAAATAAAGTATTATTTACATGGTATCCTAGTCAGTATTACAAATGAACTGAGAAGGGGCAGATCATGCCCTGCCTTGGGCTGAGCTTTGGGCAAACACCAGCATCCCACTGATACTTTRTTGGGCTGGGCCAGCTGGGTGGATTAGAGCTGCTTGCCTCCATCTGGACACAGGAAAACAGGGAATGGGGTGTATGCAGTTGAGGTGAGTGGGTCTGGATGCGCTTCCCCTCGGCGCAGGTGGTGGCAGTGGGACATGGTGGCTGTCACTGTGCAGAGGGTGTGATGGAAGCGAGGGAGAGCTGTGTGGTGTTTAGGCTGGTCCTGGGAACCAGCGCTGCTGCAGGAGCTGGCCACGCATTCCTGTATTTTCAAACTCCCTTGCGCAATCCAGGAGTGGCTGCCAGCACAAACAGCCTCTCCAAGAGCTTTTCTAGGATGATTCAATATTTTCCCCTTCTGTGGCAAGAGCCCTGCTCCTCCTGCCCTGCTGACGGCTTTGGAGGCTCTCAGTGTACAGTTACTCCATACAATTGTGTAATTTGTCAGAAAATAATAGTAGGATTTCATACAGTGTTTCAGGGGTGTGGTGTGGGAAGTTCTCTGTTAAAATATTATCCAGTAAGCAAAATAAAATATGGTCTTTAATACTTATTAATTTCTGATGGGCTGACYAGATTGTTTGGTGGTATGACTGTTATATCATTTTCCAGTAATTCCTTTTTTAGGTGTATTTCTGTGCTAACATTCATTTGGTATACACTGGATGTCTTTCTGTATGTATACAAACAATTTTTACAAGAAATTTCTCAGAAATTTTTTGTTTTCCATTTTTGAGTGATAAAAAAACTCACTTTTTTTAGTGAAGAAACCTCATTTCTGGCTCCTTAACTAGTWATGGAGTTACACAGCTTAAGTTATACAGCTTCATGGATACAGTTTTCCACAGGAGAACACATACTATACGCTACTTCAATTTACTGCTTATTTGAGATACAGGTATTCTGGTTTAAAAACAAATAGGCTTACATTACTTTTCTTTAAATGTGTAGTAGTACAGTTTCATCAGATATGTTACATAGTGTAAACATAACTCTCTGCCTGCTTATTTTTCTTTGCAAGCTTTCTGTGTGGTTTTGTTGCATATGAATATTTTGCTATATTTATTCCATTCTTATATTTATTCCAGGATTCTGGAAAAGACTTATTAATTTACTAAGATTGTACTRTAAGGACTTGATCAATGATCTGTCTTTTCTCTTTGTCTCTCCCCAGTTAYTCAGTTACAGTGCAAGAGTCATATCCACATCTTTTTGATCAAATTTACTACACCAGCTGTACTGACATCCTGAACTGGTTCAAGTGCACGCGACACAGGTGAGTTATAAATCCTAATATTGTCAATCTACTGATATTCTGTATATTTGTTAAGATTCTTGTTTCAAAATCCAGCATATGTAGGATTTTTTTAGCTGTAGCGTCCACAGCTGTCCACAGGTGTCCACAGCTACAGTTAGCTGTCTAACTGCTGTGATCCGTGTCACAGAAAATGTTTCTCTAAACAATGTCACATATGTTTCATTAGTAGGTTGGTGCGCTAACAGAAAGAAAACAGTTTGGGAAAGACTAAATTCTCCCCTGCAAGGTGGATTTGTTCAGAAATATCTTGAGAGACTCCTTACTCTTTGTGTTCTGAGGGAAGTACTACTTAGAAGGAAAGAAAAAAGATTTTTTTAAGGAAACKTCTTGTGCCAACAGAAAGCAAGTACAGGGTGAATGATTAAATACTGGTGACAGTTGTAAAGAGTATTTTCTTCAGAGGAAAATGCCCATGCGTATGAACTATCACAAGTGAAAAAGSCTCCCTTCTTTTCCTGCTTTCTGACCACCCATGAACCTAAGGTGTGTTAGAGAAGCCCTTGGACTCTTGAGCTCAGCAATAGATAAATCAAGGCCATTCAAGCATGTTTTCCTCTTTTCCTATGACAGCTGAATGTTTTTTAAAATGTGCAAGAATATATACTTGTTTCTGAGCCAAGGTACATGACAAATGTTTGTTCTTCCCTTTAGGAGCAGTTACCGTACTGCCTACAGGCATGGTGAAAAAACAATGTACAGGCGTAAATCCCAGTGCTGCCCTGGATTCTATGAAAGCAAGGAAGTGTGTGTCCGTAAGTTCAGCTCTTTTATTTTTTGCCTTGAAATTCCATGAATCCATCACTGCTGATGGGTGACTCGTGGAGGCTGAGTTACAGGAGCTCAGTTGCTCATTAGTTCTCCACATGCAGCTCTCCTTGAAGCCAGTTGGGGTTGTGCATATGCAAATGATATGATGATTGGATTTCAGATGTGTAAATAAGCAGCCTTGATGTCATTCTGGCTAATGATTGTGTGGAAGGTGCACAGTGCAAGCATCAGTGCATTTGCCAGCACAGCAAATAAATGCAAGGTTTAAAACCAGGAGAAAAATGGAAWGTTTTTTCTCCTTGGAACAGAAACCAGTAGATCCTCATGCAGAACTTCTCTTGGAGATAGTGAGGTGTGTAACAACTGTTTGGAGGTGCCAGCACCAGCTTTTTTGGTTGGCACAYGCCCCTGTCTCCTCCTGTAATGCAAAATTGGGAAAATTTGTGTACAGTCTGCCAGCAACCTTGGCTCAGTTCTTTCTCTCTCTTGTGTGGCCTTGTATAGACCTAGGGAGGTCTTAAAATGGTATTTGTTAAGAGCATGTTTTATGTCCTGGAATTTGAAAATACAGCTTTGATTCCAAACATTTTCTGCACGTGCAAAAGCAAGGTCATAATATTTTGTTCTAAATTTATATATTTGATACCAGATTGGCAATGATTTTAGCCTTTTTGTTTACAATATGTATGTATTAGACTTACAAGAACCATTTYTGACAAAATTTGATTATTATTCAGCATCTATGCCTGATATTTAATTTTTTTATTAGGTAGAATATTTTTTGAAATGTGTTACAGTTTGACACACCATGTGATGATGATTCTTTTATGYAGCTACAGCTTTTACATAGTTGTGTATGTAGTAAATCCATTCTGTGTTAACACAATGATACTCAAAAATTCAAATCCCATTGTACTTACTAATTTCTCCCGTTATTACATAAAAACATGCCAGATGCTGATACTCAGGATATATCTGCTCTGACTTTTAAAAGTGATTGTGGAATGCCTCAGACTTCAAATTATATGAAAATGCAGATCTTTCAGTGTAGCTTTTCGTTTATTTGACCTTGGAAAGCATAGAGAGATCTTCAGTCTTGGTGATCTCCAGCTGGAGCATTTCCATTACTGCAGTTTTATTTTCCATGCAGTGTGGATTATTTTGTTCACTTAGTGGAGGATGTAAGATGCCTCTAAAAGGCTAAAATCTTTGTGGTACTGTTGTTATTTTGTTATTTGTTTGTTCCTTTACTTGAACTTCTCAATTTACAAAGGTAAATTGGAAAAGTCTACTGGTTGATTTTGGTATGGTTCGACCTCACATGGATTGAAATTTCATTGCTTCTTCTAAAAAACGATAGGAATCTGTGTTTCATTAGTTGTGCCATTTCAGTTTGTGTTAGGTGGGCTGGCAAAAAATTGCATTTTAATTTTAAATCCAACATTAGACAGGGTCAATACTTGATCTGTTACTAATCACTAATTAACTTTCGCCAGCAAAGCGTGCTTTGTGCTGTGCTCATGAAACTCCTGTTTATAGAGGATATAAATAATGTACAAATTTCAGACCTCTGTCTTCACTATTGCCAGTGTCTGTGTAGAACAGCAGGTTACCTAGACCTGGGGTTGTTATTTTTGCTCTTAAAAATTTTGGTTCAGTGTTTAGATTTGATGGACTTCCTGAGGTGACCTGAATGCAGTCTATGTACACATACAAAGGTAGAATAATAATTCTGTGAAGTTGTAGAAAGGAGCTTTCTCCTGGTCTTTAGCAACTCCACCCCAGGCTGGGTGATAGACTAAATTTCTCACTTACTCCAAAGAATTTCCTGTCCCTTGTCTTCTAATACCAGTGGCAATCCCTAAGAGATTTGGCATATAGATGCTAGGCTTAACTGCAGACTAGAAACTTCTCCAAAAAATGCACATTTTTTTAGCAGGTTTCTGGAAAGAAAGATTTCAAAAGTTTCAGTACATCTTCTWGTGGTTTTCTTGTGCATAATTGTGGCCAAAATGTTTCAAGCTTTTTGTTAACTGATTTATGGGTGACTTTTCAAAATGGAAAAGGGACAGATCCTGAAATGCATACACAAACTGACATCAGAGATAAAAATATATTTTTTCTAGTTTTCTTTTAACATYAGAAAATGAAGGCAAGAGTGTTGAAAAGATCTTGAAGAAACAATAAGGCACAAAAGAAAAGGCATAGATCTAAAAGCAAATGTGAAAGGATAAACTCAGGTTGCTTTTCATACAGTAGTTGAGTTTTCCCTTGCAAAAGAAGATGTGGCAATTGCTTGCAGGGAATTTTTGGTGCTTCTTCACATTGGTCAGTATGAAAAAAACTTCATTTTAAGTTTTACACCTATTCTTGCATATAACCATTTTTTAACACCATGCCCAACAATTACACAGAAAACCAAGAGAAGGCAGTTTATCTGTTCCTGATCCTATWCATGTCTTTTCAGCCTCTCTTCGTTCTTTTCATGTTGTCCTCACCTTTTTCCAACTCGTGTAGTAAATTTCAGTTCTCTCATCCCCATGCCCAGTGCAATAATATTTTTACCTAAGCTGTCTCTTAGAGATTCAGTCTCCAAGGGTCGGTTGCCCCAAAAGGTGCCCAAATATTTTCTTTTGGTTAGTGGACATGCTTTTCTGAATACCCAAAATTTGGATCTGTGTGATAAGAGTGGCCCAGAAGGAGAGATGGGTCTGCTTTCTTGCAACTTCTTTATTTTCCYGTTTTGTTCCAGCTGTCTCACAGAGGAGGTGGCAGAGTGTTGCTTTGTCAGATCTAAGGCTCAGGGCTCAGAAATTTGGGCTGAGCATGTTTGTTTGCATTCCCTGGGTTGTTCATATGAGCGTGCATGCCGTGTGTTTACCATGACCTCCTGTTGCCTCACAGTTTTGCTGGCAAGGTTTTTCACACATTTGGTTTGTGGAGAGCCTCAGCGCCTAAGGCAGCCCTAACTAGGAAAGAATCTTCAAAGACACGAGTAATTCACGTCAGGTTATGAGACTAATGGAAAACTGTGATGTATTATTTAAACTCAGTCTTTCCATAATAAATAAATAGACARCGATGTTTTGTATTAGTGCCTTGCTTCATCAAACGTTTAAAAATTATTGTACTCCATGTTATTTCTAATGAAAATCATTTTAATACATGTCTGAAAAATAGCTTGTTAGAAATAAAAGTTGAGAATGAAAATGGAAGGCTGTAAAAATATGCAGTTAATGGCTGGCATCCTGTATAAGCAAAGATTTTTATTTCATATAGGATTGATCCTTATGTGGGGTTGTTTTTTTTTTTTTCCTGGACACACTAAATGTAAAGGTGACAAGTGTGYGTCATAATCTTTAATTAGAAAAAAACCCAGAACATTTGCCAAGTATTTTACCTAAATCTGATTACTCTAGAATATTTTCAGTCCATTCAGAACCACAGTGATTCACATATAGCCCCATTAACCTTCTCATTAACATCCACTTTGTCTTTTTCCCCTTGTTGACTTTCTATTCCTTGGTAAAGCAGTCAGATTTCTGCTTTAGTTTCTCTTAGAAATGTTGGCACAAACAAAATTCTCATCCTGTTCACATTTTTCAAATTTTACTGTTGTTCAGAGTAGAATGCAAGTATTACAGTGTGGATATTTTGGAAAGTTAGAGGTATTTTGTGATTAGTGTGATGCCAGCAAATGGTTGCTGGTTGGAAACTCTTTCTCCTGGGTGTATTATATTTTGTTRTTGATAATGCTGGATATTAGAGCCATTTGAACTTTTGCTTAGGTGTTTCAAATAAGAAGTCTGTTTCAAAGTAAGTCTTAATTTAGGAATGTGCTTGCAAACCATTAAAAAAAAGGGGAAMAAAAGAATAAATTTCAGGCAGCTCTGCTTAGTACTGTTTCTTTATCCTTCAGTTGAACTGTGGAATCATTTGGAAAAATTGATATTAAAATAGTGGTGTTTTGCAAATACTATTTTACCCGTGCTGTTGCAAAAGAACATTTCTTTGGATGCCTGCTGAAGTTCCTGTCTTTTTCTTGGTGTGAGGGTTTGTTTCAGAGAGTTACAGGACGGCTGKGGTTGGAAGGGACCTGTGCTGGAAGTCATCCTGTCCAAGCTCCTTGCTCAGGCAGGGCCAGCCGGAGCCTCTTGCCCAGGACCATGGTCATAGGGGTTTCCAACCTCATTCATACTTTGACTCCTTTTTCATTCAGTTTGGACAATCTCCCCAGAGATACTTGAGTAATACTAACACAGTTTTAGATAGAGTCTTCAAACTTAGGAGAAACAGAAGAGACTAAAGTGAGATATGTTTTGAAGAGATGCCACCGAAGAGTAATACACTGGTGTTTGTTTTGCTTCTAAGAGGTACTTGAGATACGAAAGATCTGGGTTAGGAATATTTTAGAATGTTGTAAAGACTATTCTTCCTAGTGGTAGGAGTTGTCTAACTTCTTATTATTCCCTTCTCTAACAGCTCACTGTGCTGATAAATGTGTCCATGGCCGCTGCATTGCTCCCAACACCTGTCAGTGTGAGCCTGGCTGGGGAGGACCCAACTGCTCCAGTGGTGAGTTTTTCACCTGCTTCTGCCTGTCTTCGGCTCTTTCCATGGTGTTGTCCTCTCTTTTGGAGCGATAATCATCATTTCTGTGCTTGGGCTTCTGCTCTCTGATGAGGGCTTTTTCTTTTCTGAGTTATCAGGTTACTCTGTGTAACCTGATTTTTTTTTCATTTACTTGCAAACTGTGTTCCCATGTAGCAGCATTAATGAGCTTTCTTTGTGCTCAGAAACATGCAGATAGCACAGTATTTGCAGCAGAGATACAGTTTTCTCTTACATACAAGAAAATCTCACAGTTTTTGTTTAATTAATGTGCAAAGTTTGCTGGTGCCAGGTCACGTTTAAAAGCCATGAGAAAAGCCTTCCTAACAACTCTGTCCTCCTTTTTCTCTTGTCCATTTTTCCATTCACTCTTCATTCCCTGAACTGCCACTTGTCTTTCCATTGTACTCTGGTCAAATTTCTCCCTCTTTCTTCTCCTTTCCCTTTGTCCTAAGAGCATGCGCAGGAGATGAGAGGAGCAGAATTGTGCAGACCAGAAATCATATTTTCTTCCCTTTTGGCTCAAATGCAGTTTCTCAGAGTGATTTTTCAATTCMTTATAATTCTTTATTTATTCCATCCTTCTGACCTCTTTTGTAAGGTCTTAAAATATGTATTTTTTGAGGCCAACATAAAATCACTTACTTTGTTACAATCAAGTTCAAGGCAGGTCACTGCTAGTGACTGTCCATTGGAAATGAATGTATTTCAGCCAACAATAAAAACAACTGTATGTATTATTTAGATTTCATAGACCTTATAAATTTCTAAAACACAAACCAGAGCTGGATGTCTTGCAAAGATATTRTGCTGCTACTTCACTTAGTACATTATTTCTATAAAATTAACAACTCTCATTTACTTTTTCTTAAAAAAAACAGGGAAATGTTCTTTTGTTTTTTGTTTTTTTTTTTTCCATTTTCAAACATGGTGCTGTCATAACTCAGTTCATCTGAAACTGATTTGTTTGTTCCAGCAGCATATTTGGTGGCATGAGGAAGAATTTAACCATTTTAAAAAGTACTCCGTACATTTGTTGTGTAGTTTTTGTGTATGCTGACATGTGATTCATATATAGCTCTGAAGAAACACCCAAGTTCTGCATAAGGCATAAAACTGAAAGAGCCATTGTTCTTTCACAACAGTGTTGCTGTAATACTGATCTTATTCTAATGTATTGAATTGTCAAAATAGATTGTCAAAACATGATATCTTTCTTTTTGAAAACCGTATGCTCTTCTGTAGCTAACCAAACTTGCAGAAGAAATATGACTCATTAGACAGCACAGATTTCAAAAACACTGTTATTTATTGAAATTTTTGAATCCGAAACTCACTGAAAGCATGCTTTAGATGAGACAGGAACCTCTAAATCTGCCTTTGGAAATAACCCTTCCTCTCACAGAGTTTCTGGTGTCCTTTCTCTTTCCTATCTGGCATAATTCAGTTTGAGCACATGGGCAGCTCTTTTCCTCTGCTTCTCCCTGAGCTGGTTGCCTTTGATTGCTGGTCACAGCAGCATTTTCTGGTGCAGCTGCACTGGGGGCCAAAGCTGGGAGAGTTTTTGTTTGTGTAAAAGCCTTTGAGCAGCAATCTCTGGAGAGGCTGGTGATCCTCTAAAGGCTCCTGTGGGACCTGCAGGCTCCCTGAAAGTGCCAAAATTTGTTTGGGATTGCTGGTGTAGCCCCAGGAGAAGGGGGGCAGGTGGAGGAAARGGATATTTCTGTGTGCTACAGGAATGTTTGTTCTGGGATTTAGCTCGTTCTGTGTGAACAAGCCTAAGTAAGTTGCTGGTATCACTTGATTGTCCTTCTGAGCTCAAGAGCTMACGTTTGCTGCTGTCTGCCCTTGATTTCCTTATCTGAAGAGCCACAGCACAGGTCAAACTGAATTGAAGAATACTGGATAGTGTTGGAAGGACAGCAAGTGAGAGGGGTTTGGATTTCTGAGCTTTCTTGTTGCTTGTCCTGCGTAAAAGATTTTGATACTTTGCCTTTAGCTGTATTTTCTGCATGACAACCAACTTGGTTAGTTTTAGTAACAGAAAGGTACAATGATAGAAAATAAAGATATATGCTTTTAAAATATTTTTTTAATGTAATGAGTAAATTCAGTAGGAATACATGCAAGCTGACCTGCTTTAATAATGTCTATCAAACAAACATTTTCATTACCTAACTGAATGGTGGAGCCATATTTGAAAGACAAGCCAGTCTGGTTTTTTGTAAGGCAGAAGTTCAGGGATTTTGTGGCTGATGACCAAATAAAATGCCCTGATTGAGAAGGAGATACTATCCTCAAAGTGTGAGGTTTTAGGTCAGCTTCCAGATGCAGTTGTCTGTTCATTTTCACGGACCTGGACATGTTTGAAAGGAACTGTTCTATCTAGGGACGTTTTGTAAAACTGCAGAACTAAACATTTTCTTCCGAATTGCTGTCCTATCTCTATTGGACTTGTTTATTCTCCTTACAAAGGAATTTTATCTGGAAGTATCTGAGAACAGATTTAGTCCTGGTGCAGCATCTGTGCATCTGCCAACCTCCCAGACTGAGTTTCATCTGCTGTTTCTCAGGAGGGAATAAATTTTTTGGGTGACTCCCATTTTCCTTTGTAGCAAACATTACATCCTTATTGCCATGCCTCTCTGCCAATTCCTAAATTACTTGGGTCAGTGGCTGCTCTCAGTCTAGGGAGAGGAGACCTAAGGTTTGACCAGACTGCTGAGCCTGTCTTTTTCCAGTGCTTAATTCTAACCCAGACTATAACTCTGCTCTCCACCACATCCTCTGCCTTTCTGAAAAAATCGCATCCCAACTGAGCAGGAAACAGGATTAGGATCTATTCTTCAGCAAGGGAAACCTGAGTGATGCTCTAGGAGTTTTGTTGATTAAATCATGTCTTATTGGGGAACATTTCCTGTGCAAGGTGTATTTTTCCTTCAGGTCTATTTATTTAAAGGAAATATAGTGTATTAGGCAGTGTTTGCTTGCAGTCAAAGTCAGTGGATAAAGAAGATGATGACAAGGTACTTATATCTAAGAGAAAACAGTGCTTGGATCAAGAGATCCCTCATTTACAGAGCACTTCCATTCTAGTGGGAGAGATGACAGTCTTGCAAAACAATTTATTGTGCTAAAGATTTATTGACTGAACACAACAGTCAGGACAAGTGAGTGGACACAAGATGTGTTGAGTGAATCAGCACTATCCACAAGCTGTCAGCTCCCCTTTGAAGATATACTTGTGAATTCCAGGAATATAAGTTGGCCAAGAATATAAATTACATTCAATTATAATATATATATTTTATTCCAGGAATATAAATTCTGGGCTGGGGACAAGRGCAAAATTAACAAAAGCATGCTAAACACAGATTAAACAAATAGATTTTATTGAAGGGCAAACAAGCTGACACAACTTTTCCCTCCCAAACTAGATTACTGTTTTTATCAAATTTTTAACTGGGATGTGTCACGGTGGGCTGTTTCAAGAGTGCTTTGATTACAGGTTGAGTAGAAAACAATCTTATCTAGAAGTTGATACAAGTAGAAATAGTTGCCTGTGTAGAGGTGGACATGATCAAATTGTGTTGTACACTTGTGATTTATGTTTTCTGCCATCACTCTTGTAACACTGTTTATTATAATAGATAATATATGAACCTGATTATCAGCTTTGAGTGTGTGTGCAATTCAGATCCACAAGCAGCCTAACGTGGAGTGCCATGAAGCAGCCAGGCCATCCACTTTGTTTTTCTTCYCATGTCTAGCAGCCCACAAATAATTCTCTCCAAATCAATAGGACACTTTGTGGATAAGCTGGAGCAGAGGCARAAATCAATATTACACTGATTTGTCTGAAATACTTATAGCCTTGTGATCCCCCCAGCTGGGCTGAGTGGTAGAGCAAAAAGGGAATGACAKGTCTTTGGTTTATGACCAAGGCATGGTTAGGGGTGTTTGTGAAAATGGAAAGAGGATTGTTCCATTTTTATTGTTCTGAAGTAATCTTGAGATTAGTTTGAATCACTGGGTTTTAATTTGAAATTTGATTCTGTTGGCGATTAGTAGAGCTTTATTGGGACTATAGTCTGAAGTCATGCGAGTAGAAAAAGTGGCATGAAGACATAATTTGTCTCCAGGGTTTTGTAAAGCATGAGAAGAAAATTGGATTTTTCTGTAATACATTAAGCTGCAGGTTTAAGACTGGCATCTCAGGGAAACCTTTACCTTTAAATGTCCTTATTAAGGTAACTTTTAAACTACAGTAGCTCTGCTCCTATCAGATTTCCTTCACGGCAGTGGGTGTTTTGTAAAGTTCGCAAATTCTGTGAAAATCTCGCTGTTTTCTCCATGGGACTTGGCAGATGCAGGCTGTGGCAGAAACTGGATCCCTTGGCATAATGTGTGTGAGACACTCACGTGAGCCACGGGCAGTGCCAGTTTCCCCGGGGAGCCCTTGATTCCCTTTAACCCTGCAGAGGAGAATGTGTGGGTTTTTTCTTTTACAGGGCACCCCAAGTGGGACAGCCCCTGTGGTGCAGATTCGTGGAACCACCTTCCACACTCTGATGGCACAAAATCCTCACTTCAGATTTTTTTTGTTTTTTTTTTTTTTACCAGGGAGTTGCTTTCCTTCCCCCCCACCTTCTGTTGAGAGCATTTTGATTCACAGAGCTTGCGAGATAGGCTTAGAGAGTTAGCTCATCCCTGAGTTTTCCAGGCCATGCAGCAGGCTGCGGAAATAAGTTCTGGTTTTAACCACATCCTTGCATTAGAAAGGCTTGGTTCCCAGAACTGGGGAGCTGGTAAACACACAGGCAAAACTGCAGAGTATCCTGGCAGAGAGCTATTTACTTTTATGGAAAGTACAGAGAAACATCTTCTTCAAGTAGTGAAGAGCTGCCCCCAGCTCAGCCCCCAAACAAAAGTGTCAGCAGGTCATGAACAGCCTTAAATTGAAC